AAAAGAGGGTTATTTAAAGAAATAATAACTGGCTATAAAGACAACCTAGCCCTACAAAGAACTAAAATCTAAAAATATTACACTTTCAGAAATAAAAAGCTATTCAAAGAATATTAAATAGGGTGAGAGAAAGTAAAGGGTAGAGTGCTTTAGATAAGAAACATTTGAAACGGTTCATCTTGTCAATTAAATTACCTCTGTCCTTCAGGGCAATTATCATTTATTCTTTCATTCTGTATGAGCTCGCCAACGAGAATTCCATTGTCCTCAGCGCAGCTGCCGCTGTCCGGACTCTTGCCTGGAGTAGGAGAATAATGGGACATGTCCGCGACTACGCCCTTCCCCTGACGCTCCTTCTCCTGCTTTGCCTTGCGCTTCATGCGTTTGCGCTCGCGCTTCTTGGCCTGAAGAGCCTCACGCTTGGCTAACTCTTCTTCTTCTTGTTCAATCTGCTCGAGCAGACAGTTTGCGTTCTTGCGTGCCTCGCCCTCCTGCTTTTCTTTGGCTGCCAGTATCACGACACGGCAGTGCTGACAGCGCTTGGACAATTCCTGAATTCGGGCCAGGCAGGTGACAGGAAGGAAAAATAACACGTGCGAATTAGGAAGTGCGCAAGGCCGAAAGGCCTACTTTAGCTTGTGCTAACCAGAGGGAAAAAAGCTAACTAAAAAAGGGCCGCTTAAATATGATGAGATGGATCGATAAAAGAGATCGATACCAAGACGTCTAAATGTCGACTGTACATGTGGCCATCTGGCAACATAGCATAAACTTATGTACTCAGTTTACCCACAGGATGTCTGATAAAGAATAATCAGTCACATTTTAAGATCCTTTACTCTAGAACGAACTTCATGATGTAGATATTTAGCGGCAATAGCGAGTAAGAGTAAGCGAGCCTACAAGCAAAAATGCAGGAATAAATTGTCAGGAGGCACGTGATGCGGGAAAATGGTCACTTCGAGATGGGCTTAAAGGTGTTGACGGTAAAATCGGGCCTTACATTTGCCAACACCTCGCCTTGACAGGGACAGGCGCATCCACAACGAGGCGAACGAGCACACTGCGAGATGGGCGGAGAGTGGACATCATCCATCGCAAATTGACTCGTATCCGAAAAAGAGCAACTCTCATCAGCATCTTCACAGAGAGAAGACGGTTGAGAAGTGAAGTTGAGACTGTCATAATCTACTCCAACCTTCGGGAAGAGGAGCACATCTCTCGCGGAATCGCCAGAAGGCTTAATTCCATCGATTTGTGAAGCACGACCCGAAGAAGAATAGTCGGAATCGGGGCACAGAGAAGAATATGGCGAGGAAGGTGAAACCGCATCCCTGGCAATGCAACCGATGGGCAATGAGGAGTTGAGATAATCCATGATGGAATGAGATTCTTTAATACGGGGTGATCCAGTTGGAAGAGCAACCTTGCTCCGTCGGAGATTGCCGATATTTAAGAGATACGTCATCAGTCGGCTTTGGAATATGGGACTAACTAAAGAATAGCTTAGAGACTAAGGGATAAAGGAAGGGGCTAAGGGAGCTAAGAACTAATGGGGACTAAGAGTGGACCCCGGGAGGGAGCACCTACGCCGGAGGGGCCGAATGGGTAATTAAGACGACGGAGTAAACTGCTGAAGAACGGAGACTCGCCATGCCTCACGGCTAGATAGAGAGAACAACCAGCAAGAAACACCTATCAGAAGTAGCAGAGTTGATGCAACTGGAAAGAGCTTGCGCTTATTGGACAAGAAGAATGGTCAATAGATAAGCCATGTCAACGACCAATTAGAAGCTACCTGCAGTAAATAAGGTCATCAGAGCGACAAAGCAGCGCACAGATCGATTGGACACACAGGACTTGCCCTAGTCGCGTGACTCCAGGCGAGATCTGAGCTCGGCCTGTATGTTATAGTGAGTTTTAAGCGTACGTATATAAGGCACATGTAAACGGGTTGATAGACCAATGGAAATATATCCAATATCAAGAATGTACATGATAAGAATTAAACCGAAGATATGAAGACCAAAATAGTGTGGCTTTTTGTGTGGTCACAGTCTCCTTTCGGTGTATAGAGGTTGTTTTGACCTTGTTTTCTCAGCTTGGTCATATTGGTAGGAAGACCTAGAGGAACGCACCTAGTCTGGAGTCCATTGTATGCATGATCATTTCCAAAGTCGGACCGTGGACGTGGT